AGAATGCTAGACATTTATATTTGATAACAAATCAATATTTATATTTTTACGTGTTAATGTGAAAATATGATTTAAAACAATAAAAACTCATTTTTTATTGTTAAGACCTATTTGTAATCCTTGTAGGATTATATTATTTGTATATAATTATTTGTATTATAAATAATACATATATAATTAATAATAGTAATTAATTCAAATTATTTGTCGTTGATTAACGATTGATTGAATTTCGCAATTTCTAATTATGATTTGATTGATTCTCGCGGCGATTAAATGCGATCTTTCTGATGTCTACTAATTGATCTGATCTGAAATTTACCTAGTTCCTAATTATAATGTGTTATATCTTTATATTATATATTTAAATTTTAATTATAATCTGATTTAATCTAAATCTATTTGAATTCTAACTATGACCTATCTATGATTTCTAGTTGTAATTATAATTGTATAATTGTATATTATTATTAACATTATTGTAATATTTATAATTTCTAATTTTATCTGAATTCTGATCTATGATTTTGAAAAACTATCGCAATTTTCCATTATCCAATCATTATCTTCAGCGAAAATGCAAACTAAGAGAGGATGAAAAAAAACTAATAATCGTGTTGAAAGACGATTTCCAAAGATAGATTTTCGCGGGATTGCGATGCGAAGATATAAGTCAGAATCCATTACGATTGTTTCTATGGTTTCACAAGACATTTGATTTATTACGCAAGAATAACTTATGAAGTAATTATTATATCTTCTGTTATTGAGAGTTTGAAAAAATGACTATACAAATTATAATTACTCGTAAATTTTTATTAAAGTTTAAACTGTTGAAAATAAAATTCAAGCTTTACAAATCAATTCTGATTTTTGTTTTTATACTATCTATATTTTTTAAATCGATACATGAATCAAAGTCAAACACAAATGTAATAAATAGCATATACGTACAATATTTATATATATGTTTATATATGTATATAGTCATATAATTACGATTTATACATCATATAAATTATGATTTATAAATATGAACTTCAAAAATTGATAACGATTGCGACAAGCATTCATATGGACTAAAATTTTTTTGCTTATTCAAATAAATTAGACTTATATTTAAAGAATTTAAAATCATATATTTTACTTGAAATTATTTATTTATTAACTTATTTATTTGACTTGAAATTTTTTTCAAAGAAAGTTAAAGCTTTTTCAATTTTCTTTAATTTGAAATAATACATTTTAAATAATAAATATATATATTGTAACTAATAATATATATAAGCAAATTAATTATTATTAAAAATAATTATTAATCTAAAATAAAAATAAATTAGAATTAGAATTTATGAGGAATCTAAGTATTTGAAATGACAAAGAAAATTTAGATAATTATTTAAATTAACGATTCTTTATCGATATTAATAAGTTTAAAATTATTATCAAGATCACTATTCTAAAGCATTTTTGTCTTTATATGTTGTTCGATTTTAATTTTTGATAAAAAATATTTATAAAAATATATTGTATATGAATATATAAATATAATATATTCTGATTTTTAACAGGAAAATTTCATTAATTTTTAACATATATTCAAGTAACATTTCAAGTAACATTTGAATCAATTTGAATCATTTCCATCAATAATTTTTTCATTAAGAATTGATATTTGCTTAAGTTAGAAAAGTTTCTCGCCAACGTTTGCCGGTAATATTGTTAAAAATATTAATTAAAATCTCGCGCGATATTATATAATCATAGACAAGATATTTCACGAGTCTATATTTTGATTAGATTATATTAATATTTCATAGGTAGTTATTTTCAATGTTTTTGTGCGTATAGCAAACAAATCCAATTATTAAGCTAATGGTATGTGAACATATGATATTTTATTTAAAAAAATATTAAAGAAACTTAATGGTGTTTAAAAGTGAATTAACAGAATTTAATTTTGTATAATAATATAATAATATTTTGTATAATAATATAATAAAATAATTAAAGAAACTTAATGGTGTTTAAAAGTGAATTAACAGAATTTAATTTTGTATAATAATATAATAATATTTTGTATAATAATATAATAAAATAATTAAAGAAACTTAATGGTGTTTAAAAGTGAATTAACAGAATTTAATTTTGTATAATAATATAATAATATTTTGTATAATAATATAATAAAATAATTAAAGAAACTTAATGGTGTTTAAAAGTGAATTAACAGAATTTAATTTTGTATAATAATATAATAATATTTTGTATAATAATATGATAAAATAAATATTAAAGAAACTTAATGGTGTTTAAAAGTGAATTAACAGAACTTAATTTTGTATAATAATAATATTTTGTATAATAATATAATAAAAAATAAATTAATTATGAGATAAATATATTATAATGTAGATTTATTTATCATTTTTAAAAATAAAAAAAGTTTATCCTATTCAAAACTGATCACAATCTTTCACATATAAAGTATTAAGTTAAATTATATTAGATTAAAATATATTAAATTATAAATTAAATTATTTTAACAAACAATTTAATATTGGATAGAAATATGACTTCAATACAAGAAAATTGTATTTTTTTAAATAATAGCAGAAATTTTTTTTCATTTTTATTTTTATAATATTATTTAATTTTAATTTAATAAAAAATTAATTCAAACATAAAATCAATCAATCAAATTAAAAAATCAATTTAAACAATATTTTTGTGTTCGGAAACTAAAGCTGAGTGGCAATAACATATAAATAAAAGTTATTCAAAATGATTTTACATATTTTAAACTTATCTGAAATCAATGATCATTAATATAAATAATTACCGAAATTTGAACCAAAAGATAAAAATATGATTTAATAATATATTCAAAATTTCCCTCATTATATATATATATATATTCCAACAAACATTACTATTTCAATATTTTAAATATCTATTGCTTCAAATTAAATTAACTTGAGTAATTTGAAGACTTTGATATTAAAAAAAAAATAATAATTGAGATAAAATAAGTTTGAATATATTCAGTCAATAATTATGTACTTTAGAAAGAAAAAGAGTGCTAATAAAAAATATAGATGTAAATAATTATTTAATAGAATCATATCTTCATAAAAAATACGATATAAATTCTAATTCATCAAGATTCTTATATGTCAAATTGAATTATGTAATATATTCTAATTATTATTCTATATTATTCTATTGAAAATATTAATATAAAGTTTGTTAATATAGTTAATATAAAGTAGTTGTTAAGCGTATTTTATATAAATATAATAGTTATTAATTATTTATTGATCTTACCTTCTTTACAAGATTATATTCTTTAGATTACATGAAATTTTAATGATTCAAATTTGTTAAATTTTATTTTATTTATTTCGAATCATCATATTTCTTTTAATTACTCAATTAATCAAATTTAAAAATTTTTTTAATGCTAATAGTGATGATATTGACAGTTTTAAACTGTATATAGTATATAGTAAAAATTATATTTTTATTTTTTGAGTTTATAATAATTTTACTTATAGAAGAATTTAAATTTCAGTTGTATATTTCTATTTTTTTATATCATTAATTGTAAACCTAAGATTATATATTTTTGTAATTTTTGCTACAGTTTTATTATTTTATAATTTCTGAAGTTATTTCCTATTTAATTTCAACGCTTATTATTAATTCCTTTTCATTTTATATGATATATAATATTAATATATATATTTCATTACATTTTTAAAAAAATTTCATTACATTTTTAAAAATTTTAAAAGATGATTCTTATTTTGTATAAATCTAATCGAAAAAAAAAAGTATTTATTTACTTCTACAATAAAGAGAAAGAAAAGAAGAATCATTTCTAAATCTAGGAAATTTCTGCATATTATATATATTCTGCATATTATATACACCATAAACGTAAGAATGTTGTTTAATCTATCAAGATTATTTATATTAAAGTGAAAAATATAACTTTTTTTAATTATTTATTTATTATATTTTTTGTTTCATAAAATTTATTTTCTTTTATATCTTTGCATATTTTTATAATTGCAAAATATAAAATGACTTCAATAAATTTCGTATTTTAACAAGATATTTCAAGTGTACTCAAAACTTGCGAAATTCATAAATTCATAATTCATAAATTTTTTAGAAGCAAATAAAATTAAAATTTTATAATGTTTTAGTTAATTTTTAATTTCTTATTGATCTGAAATTAAGATCTTAAAATTATTGAAAACTGCTAAAAATTATTCACTCAAGATATTTATTTTTTATTTAATATTTATTTTTTATTCTCTTTTATTCAAATAATTTAAATAATATAAATGAATTAAAAAATTACATTTAAAAAATTAAAAACATTAAATTAAAATTAAAATTATTAAAAATTGATGTATCATTATCAAAAAAATCGATTGAAATCATTTAAAAAAGATAATATTATATATTATTAATAGATAAGTAAAAAAATTATTTTATGAATTTTAACATTATTATTATTTATATTAACAAGAATATTATCTGTCTTTTAATTTTGTCGTATTGGTAATTTTTCTAATTCTAATCGAAAAATAAAAAATATTTATTTATTAATTCTAATTAAATAATTTCCAATTAATTTATAGAAAATTTCAGATTTATTATAAATAAATTGTATTTAATTGTTATTAATAAATAAATATATTTATTTATATATTAATATATATTATATATTATTTTATATATAAATATATATAAATATAAAATAAAATATAAAAATATATATATATGTATATATAATGTAATTATATTAAGAATATTTTCATTGATAATTGTATAAGAAAATATAAATAAATATAATAAATAAATTATTATATAAAATATAAATAAATCATTAAAATAATATGTCATTATATTTTCGCGAAACATGTCTTCCGTTGTATCGTATACTTTTTCACACTTCATATATAAAGATATATTTGTATATTTACCGTCCAAATGGAGAGACACTGGTCGAAACCGGAAATGGTAGACCAAGACTAAGACCTCTAAGACCCAAATGAGGTGGTGGAATATGTAAAAATCCTCTAGCAGGAGTAACTAATGGTACTCCAGGAGCGGTTGAAGATGCCTGACATCCCGCTGATGTTCCAGGATAAGATGGTGGCATCGAACATGACCTTAAAGCTCGACGGTATTGTCTTCTCATACGTCTCTCTCTTCGACGAGCACCACGAGCACCATCGAGATCTTCGAGCGTTTCTGAACCACCTTGCAATGGGAGTTCCGTTTGTGCTTCCGTTGAAGTAAAAGATCGCGCATTGTCACGAGATTCCTAAAAAGTTATGCAAAATTAAATTTCAGCTCGTACATATTTCTTGTAAATTTTATTTTGACTATTTTTTTTGATGTGAAGAAGTTTGAAGAATTTCTTCCAATATTTTTTGCTTTGTATATAAAAATTAATCTATTATAATTATATAATCTATTATATATTATAGTTTGATAAAATTTATACAATCATTTTAAAATTTTAGTTATAAACAATTGTATATTTTTTACAATAATTCATATGAACAATGTTGAAAATAGAAATATAAAATAATTTTTTTTATTTAAAATTTATTTAAAAAAAAATTATTTTTCTTAATTTAATTTTTATGGAAAAAAATTTCTAATGACTGAGGATAAATTTTAATTGATTTTAATATATTAAAATATATAATAATTTATTAATATTTTTTGTGCTTTTTTATTTTTTTCTTTTTTTTTTTGAGATGAATTATCAATACAAAAAGAGAGGGAAGTTGAGAGAGATAAAAATAAGAAAACTATTTTTTAATATAATTATTGATTCTAACTAATAAAAGACAAATAAAATTCTCATTTTGGAACAACAAAATAAATAATAAATTACATCTGACGTAAGCAAATAAACATAATGAAATCATTTTATGTAGATATTAAAATTTAACTTCAATCACAAATACAATATTATAATCATTATAAATAACAAACTATTATAAATCCTATTAAAATTGATGAATGATTTTATTTTATTTTATTAGTTTATGAAAGTCATAATTAATATAAATACAATCACTATTTGATTATATTTAATAAAATAAAATGAGAATCAAAATTTAACATGGGAATGAAATATAAATTTTGGCGAAATTTTTTTACTTATTTCAAATATTAAATATTATTCATTTTCATTTCACAATTTTCATATTTGATTTTATAAAGATTTAATTTTCTTCATAAAATAATACTTTTCTATTGAATTATTTTATATACGAAATATGATATAGCTATTTACTTAGATTTTAATGTATAGAAATTAGTAAAGAAATAAACTTAGTAAACTTAGTAAAGAATAATTGATAGACAAGAGCTGATTTTACATATAAAAATAAATTGAGAAAAAAATAAAATTTTTTGTATAATCTCATTTTTTAAAAACTTATAGATAATAATAAAAATATAGATAGATAATAAACTTATAAATAGATATTTACTACTTTAAATATACTTTAATATTATAAATAAATATAATTGGTTAATTTCTAATTAGATATTAGTAAATGACCAATAGATTATTTTACACATGAAAAGTTTTAAATGAAATTTTATCTTTTAAATTCAAAATGTCTTTGAAGAAAGTTGAATATATAAATAACAAAAAATAACTACATAATTCTGTAATTTTCAAATTCGATTTTCTTGAAAACTAATTTTAGAATGAAAAAATTTTATTCTATATTTTTTGCTTTTTACATTTATAATAATCATTTATCGATAATTTACTTATATCTAATCAATAAAATTAGCCAATTATAAAACATTTAACAAATTTTCGATTTATTCGAAAATGAAATCATAAACAAAAAAATTTTATATCGTTTTTTCATATATAGTAATATCACAACCTGTAGATACTTTGACAAACATTCATATGAATAAAAATTAAGATAAAGAAATATCTCTAAGAAATTTTTAATGTTTTATTATTCTTCTAAATATAATTTATTTTTTATAATTCAAAACTGTTTTTTGATATTAAAAAAACTTATTATTTATTTTTTTTATTAACTAGAAAGAAATATTAGTGCTCATGATAATGAATTCATGATAGCAATTTGAATTTTTATTTGCATATTTATATAATAACTAATATGACATTCTGCAAGTTCCACTCGAAATTGTTTGATATTCTATATCTACATTTTTGTTCGTATTGCATTTTTCCATTCTAATCATGATTTCTTATTATGTAATAAGAAAATCTTTTTTAACTAAAGTCTCCTTAAATTGAATATATAGAATATTTAATGGTTAATTTTTATTATTATATCCTATTTTTCTTAAAATTCATTAATAGTAGGTTTTTTTATATTCAGGATTCAATTTTTTTTTTATTTATTTTGCTTTCTAAAAAATTTTCGATTTTTATTAAATTTCTTTTATATTACATATTTTACATTCTGCGATTAATTCTATTGATATTTTCAAGTTTATAATTAATCGAGTTTTGAAAATATCTTTACGATCTTTAATATAGATAATAAAAGCGTTCTTTTTTAAAGATATAAATATTACTTTATTTATGGTTATTTTATTTATGATGAAATATTAAACAAATTTTTAAAATTCACTTAAAATATATTGTGAAACATAAATATTAACATTTTATTACTAACATTTATATATATATATTATAACTTTATTACTAATATTCATATATATTATTATATCATTTATAAATATTCATGTTAATTTTATGATTAT